CCGGTCAGAAAGGAGAGGGATTGCACGCCTGTCTGTCAGCTTCCTGCTGAATACCACGATCTCAGGGAGGCTTTCAGTAAGATAAAGGCTTCTCAATTACCTCCTCATAGAATGAGTGACTGTGCCATCGAACTCCAACCTGGTTCACATCCTCCCAAGGGGAGGGTTTTCCCCTTGTCTCAACCTGAAGCTGAGGCTATGAAGTCCTATATCGAGGAGGAACTCGCTAAAGGTTTTATCAGACCATCCACATGACCTGCCTCTGCCGGGTTTTTCTTTGTTAAGAAGGATGGAGGTCTCGCACGGTGGCAGCTCCCATGACTTCTATGACTAAGAAGGGTAATCAACGCCTCGAATGGTCCTCAGCAGCCCGTTCAGCCTTCCAGACCCTCAAGGAGAGATTTACAACCGCACCCATCTTGTACCATCCCGACCCGGAACATGGCGTCACTGGCTCGAGGGAGCCAAACACCCCTTTGTTGTACTCCCCGATCACCGCAATCTGGAATATCTGAAATCAGCCAAAAGACTCAATCACAGACAGGCAAGATGGTCACTGTTCTTCACCAGATTCGACTTCACAATAACCTACCGTCCAGGCTCTCAAAACACTAAGGCGGATGCCCTATCTCGACTCTATGAATCATCCACACTGTCTCCCAGTCAGGAATCCATCATTCCGTCTACCATCATTCTCGCACCCGTACAATGGGACATCATGACTGAGATCACAGATGCCCAGAGCACCGAACCACCTCCAGCCGAAACCCCACCTGATCTCACCTATGTACCGCAAGCTCTACGGCAAAGAGTCCTTCAGCTAGTTCACTCCACTCCCGGCTCCGAACACCCAGGTATAGCAGCTACCCTTCAGTTATTGAATAATCGCTTCGCGTCGCCGGGGCAGAATGATCCAGTACCTAGGGGACTGGGAGGGGTACGGTCCGGAGGAACGGTCCTGGGTCAATGCAGAGGATATTCTGGATCCCTCGCTTACCACAGACTTTCACAGAGACCACCCGGATAGACCTGCCCCGAGACCCCGCGGAAGACCCCGGCGTCGTCTGCCTCTGCGTGTATAAGGTATAATAATAATAATTATTATTATTATTATCTCAAGAGATTATCTCAAGAATGTAGTAGTATATTAATTAGCTACATTATAAATCTTTTATTTTTATCTACCACTTTTATTCTTTGTCCGTCATTATATGTTTCATATTTTGTTTTTTTTTCTGCAAAGGTGAAAAAAGTGTGAATGTTTTGAGATTATATTGTGCAAGTGATCAGGCATTTTATACATATATATGTATGGATTCTACTGAGCACATGGTTGTCTCCAAACTTAGTAAACTGCCTTCATAGACAGCATGCTTGGGCGTCATAGGCGTCTCTAAAGGGTTAGGGAAGACGACTCACTTTAGGTTTTGACACACCGCCTATGATGTGTCACATAAAATAGGCTACTCCGCATCAAGGGAGCTGCTGCTGCTTCAGTGTGAAGAGACGCGGAACGGCAGCAGAGCAGCTTCTGTAGGCTACACTGACTCACCAGCCTGCGCTTTGTAAAACTTTGATTTGTTTCGTCCCGCTTTTAAAGACAAGCTTTATACATGGGGGATACGAAAATTACTCCCGAAGTGTTGGAGCAACTACTACAGTTTTACAATCTTACTCGTCAGGAGTTTATTAAGACGTATGAGATTCAGCCGTTGGTTTACATCCCTGAGTTACCGGCCAGCGCCAAAACTATATTTGTTATTGTGTACACTGTGATTTTTCTCCTGGCTCTCATTGGCAATAGTCTGGTTGTCTATATTGTCTTAAGAACGCACGGGATCCAGACCGCCACAAATATTTTCATCTGCTCTCTAGCCGTCAGCGACCTCCTGATATCTTTCTTCTGCATCCCATTCACTCTGCTGCAGAACATCTCTTCTGAATGGTTCGGGGGTGAGTGTCGCTTATAAAGCATTGTTATTATAAAACAGTTCGCAGGAGTTCGCAAGGATATGCATGTTCTGTGCGCTTGCAATATGTTGTTGTAATTATTTATTTATTTAGGGACTAAACTCGTCACAGGACAACAAAATATCTTCCTGCATGTTTATTATGCCTCACTGTCTTTGACTACTTGGCAGATAAAAGTTTTTCAAATATTAATATATTAAAACAAAATCGAAGGAATTTTTTTCCTTTTAATGAGACATCATTTTTACAATTTCTGAATAGTTAAACCATCTAAAAAAATTTGACAATAAACCCCACAATAATTCAGAAACTAAAAACATTGATAAGAGATACGCAATTCATTTTTTATATGAACTGTTGTTCTCAAATTATTTTTAAATAACTGGACAAATGGTTGTAGCCTCTAGTTGGCTTTTCTTTGACCATATCACTGTCAAAAGACTGTCTCAGGAAGTTTACTCTTTAAACATTTACGTGTTTGTAGGTGTGTTGGTGTGCAAAACAGTTCCCTTTGTTCAGACCACTGCTATTGTGACTGGCATTCTCACAATGACCTGCATCGCTGTGGAGAGGTACCAGGGGATTGTACACCCTCTGAAAATCAAAAGACAGTGCACTCCATTAGATCATGCATAATTTGCATTCCACATCTATGAATAAAGCATCTGAATAATAGTGTTTTCATTCCCTGTTAGGGGTTGTCTGGATCGCAGCCATGCTGGTTGGATCTCCAATGCTCTTTGTTCAACATTTAGAGGTACTAATCTGATTTTTGGCTGAAATATTCCATTTGAAGCTTTCAGAACATTCAAAAATCCACATCCAACTTGTTGAAACATTAGTTAGCTTGCAGTCTGGGTTCTGTATACTTGAACATTTCCCCAGGGTTTACTGCTCCGGGTGTGTGCTCACTGTGTGTGTGTGTGTGTGTGTGTGTGTGTGTTCACTACTCACTGCTGTGTGTGTGCACTTGGATGGGTTAAATGCAGAGCACAAATTCGTGGGACACCATACTTTGCTATGTCACGTCAATTTAGCTTGTTAGAAGCTGTCAGGTGCCTTCTGATCCAAGGCAAAAAGTATATATATTTTAGATTATTCACATAATAACACTGGTCCATTTCATATGCTACAGCTATAGTGATAATGGTTTCCATATCCTAATCCGTTATTTCAAATCTCTCTGTTCTTTCCTTCTGTGTGCAGGTGAAATATGATTTTCTATATGATCTCCATCATGTGTGCTGTCAGGAGCGCTGGAGCTCAAGTGCCCACAGGAAGCAGTATGCTACTTTTATTCTAGTGTTCCTCTTCCTCCTGCCTCTTGCAGCCATGCTGCTACTCTACACCAGAATTGGTATTGAGCTCTGGATTCGCAAACAAGTTGGAGATTCTTCAGTGCTCAATGCCATGAACCAAAGGGAGGTCAGCAAAATATCCAGGTCATTTTTTTTACCTTTCTCAGTGCATGCTGTTTTTGAATCAAATCTAAATCTCTAATCTAAACAGCTATTTCTAGTTTTATAGTGTTTTCTTAACAATATACACTACAGTTAAAAGTTAGTAATGATTAAGATTTTGTAATGTTCTTGAAAGACGTCTCTTATGCTCACCAAGGCTGCAGTGAATACTGTAATATTGTGAAATATAATTACAATAATAACTGTAATAATAGTAATAATAATAACTGTTTTATATTTTTATGTATTTACTAATGTAATTTATTTCTGTGATGGCAAAGTTGAATTTTCAACAGGCATTACTCCAGTCTTCAGTTTCAGTTGATCCTTCAGAAATCATTCTAACATGATAATTTGGTGCTCAAGAAACATTTCAAATTTTTATCAATGCTGAAAGCCATTTTTGTTGCTTAATATTTTTTATTGGAAACTGTGATACATTACCATTCGTTTGGAGTAAGTACGAATAAAGAGCAAGGACACATTCAATTGATCAAAAGTAACAGTAAAGACATTTTTTTATATGTTAATGTTACAAAAAAATATTTGTTTCAAATAACGTTCTTTTGAACTTTCTATTCATCAAAGAATTTTGAAAAAAAATCCTGAATCCTGAAAAAAGTATAATGGTTTTCACAGAAATATTAAGCAGGACAATTGTTTTCAACATTGATAATTATAAGCAATGTTTTATGAGCAGCAAATCAGCATATTAGAATGATTTCTGAAGGATCATGTGACACCGAAGACTGGAGTAATGGCTGCTAAAATTCAGCTTTGCCATCACAGGAATAAATTACATGTTAATATATAACAAAAAGAAAACAGTTATATTAAATCATATTTTGTAATCAAATGAATGCATAAGAGACTATTTTCAAAAACATTATTCCAAACTTTTGACTGGTAGTGTGTAAGGGACTGAACACTAAAAACTGCTAATGATTACTCATTATGCAATCATTCCTCTTTATGCGACAGAAAGAAGCGAAGGGCCATCAAGATGATGGTCACCATTGTTGTGCTGTTTACTGTCTGCTGGGCACCTTTTCATACAGTTCATATGCTGTTTGAATACAGTAAGAAAAACAAAGTGTCCGGTAATATGTCTGTGCACATGACAGTCTCAAAGTGTGTCTTCTTTCAAATTTCAGCTTCATTTTGTTGTCTCCAAGTTTCCTGAACAAGACGTATGATGACATCACAGTCAATATGATTAACCTTTTCATACAGTTCATATGCTGTTTGAATACAGTAAGAAAAACAAAGTGTCCGGTAATATGTCTGTGCACATTACAGTCTCAAAGTGTGTCTTCTTTCAAATTTCAGCTTCATTTTGTTGTCTCCAGGTTTCCTGAACAAGACGTATGATGACATCACAGTCAATATGATTATTGCTGTTTCACAAGCCATAGGTTTTTCAAATTCATTCAGCAACCCTATTATTTATGCTTTCATGAATGAGAACTTCCAGAAGAACTGCATGTCCACCTTTCCCTTTTGCATTCAGCGGTCCAGTCAACGTGTGGATGTGAAGGACGAAACGACAAAGGACAAGGTACTTTTTTGTAAGTCTTCCAGAAAAGAAGAAGACTTCTCTGTCGTGCCCAGAATACATGTAGTTGATCAAGTGCAATCTGCAAGATCAAAAATGCAAACATCTCTGTCATTTTTGGAGGAAAGAATCTGCTGAGAGCAATTGATGCATCCAAGATGTATCTGTAATGTATGTATATATATATATATATATATACACACACACACACACACACACACACACACTGTTCAAAAGTTTGGAGTCAATAAGATTTTGTCTTTTATGCTCATCAAGGCTGTATTCTTGTGTCAAAAATAAATAAATAAATAAAAATACAGTATAAACAGTAATATTGCTAAGTAACCTACTATTACATTTTAAAATAACAGTTTTATATTTTAATATATTTTGAATATGCAGCATTCATTACTTCAGAGTCACATGATCCTTTGAACATCCATGATGTTGAACAGTTGTGCTGCTTAATATTATCATGGAAACTGTGATACATTTTTTTTCAGGATTCTTTCATTAATAGAAAGTTCAGAAAAACAGGTTAGTTTAGGTTAGGTCTTTGCAAAATAAGTGTATTAACTTCTGTCAAAAACAAACAAGCAAAAAACCTTTTGAACTAGTCTACTATAATATAACAACAGAACAATTCAAAAGTCTCGAAGACAATGACAGACCATTAAATAAATACATTTAAAAATGTTATGTCTTTGCTTTGCCACCACCCATAAGATTTCTGCATAATGCAAGGATATACAAATCAATTTCAAATAAACTCTGCTCTCAGATCTCTTGTGTCTTTGTGTTTGTGTCAGTCAACGTCAAATCACTGAATTAATTCAAATACTTAAAACACTTTCGTTCTAAGCATCCAGTCGTGACTTACATTTATAATTGTGAATTTATAGGTCTGTGGGTTATTATATTTCCATATAACACTTTTATCTCAGTATTTTTGAGGTCTTGTCTCTTAAATAAAAACAGAATTTTTAAAAACAAATTTTATTTAGCATCGCTTTTCATTCAGGCAGTACCACCACTCGGGCATATTCTCGGGCACCTACAGGTCCTTCTTCCTTTTCCTCGTCCCTGAGCGAGCCGACGCCAAGATGGTGAGTAGATTGTGGACAAATGATTATGAAAATCGAATTAAATCTTCTCCATCCGCTGGTTTCATATTGACATTGTTGCCGTAAAGCACACTACGTATATATAATAACCAATATATGCGTTCATTTAGAGGATATAATGTGTACGAACTTTTCGGTAGACTGTAAGATGGTGTGTAGTTTCATACCATCGTGCTACTCTTAACAGTGGCTAGGAGGGGTAAAATATTACATTACAGGCATATATGTATCCATAGACCTGAAATGGGAAATATATAAAAGTGGAAAACTTATATCGACCCTCGTATTTCTCATCGAGCCCATGAAGCTAATGTAGCTAAAGAGCTAGCCATATAAAGAGCAAGTGTCTTATATTTCACAGCTTTTGCTCTGCATCTATACAAGATGCTCACGTTTTCTTTTGAATATCGCGATGAATAAAATTAGTAAAATCTGTTGGTAGGTTTTACAGTACATGGCTGTCAAGTAACTTTAGGGTAAGAAATGTGACTGTCATGACAAGAATAATGAATTCTGCTCTTTGAGAAATGGTTTCATCCAAGTTTAACATCAGCCCAGCTCATAGTTTTCAGTTGAACCTCAATATTTCAACTGTTTCTAACAAATGTGTCTATTTGCAGAACGAGACCGTCACAGTCAGGACCAGAAAGTTCATGACAAACCGACTGCTTCAAAGGAAGCAAATGGTAAGCGTGTGGCAGATTTTGTATGCTGGCTTAATGTAATTTAGTTTGCACTTTTAGCATTTGCTCATTCATGCTTTTATTGTTTCAGGTTGTCGATGTCCTGCATCCAGGCAAAGCAACAGTCCCCAAGACCGAGATCAGGGAGAAGCTTGCAAAAATGTACAAAACCACCCCAGATGTGGTGTTCGTCTTCGGCTTCAAAACTCAGTTTGGCGGTGGCAAGACAACAGGGTTTGGCATGATCTACGACTCGTTGGACTATGCCAAGAAGAATGAGCCCAAATACAGGCTGCAAAGGGTACGCCACTCATGATGCTTGTAGGCTCACATGATTAATAGAATTTAAATCAAAAGGCTGTGATTTCAGTATGCACTGCATGTTGAAGTGAAGTGTGGTATCGATCAGATATGCCCAAGTTTAGATTAATATTTAAGAATAAAGAAATTAAAATGGCCATAAATATTAGTATTGTATTTTTACAGTTGGACTGTAAAATATTTTCTTAAACACTTTAGTTAATATTTCTTTTATTTTGTAGTAGTAATAGTAATTTTTTGTCATTTTTCGATAATCTCAAAATGTTTGGTGAAATTGTGCTGCTTTGCAAACAAGCAAAACCTGCAGTTTTATTTTTAATGGCAATCTCTTTTCTTTTTTTAATAGAGAGTCCTTTTTGTTGACCCTTGCTGTTTTAAAAAGATGAAAATTGTTATTAACTCAACCTTGTGTTCAAAACTGTTTTTGTTTCCTATATATATGGAGAGAAAGATAGTTTTGGAGTGGCATGAGTAAATTGACAGCTTTTATAAGTGAAAATTAAGGTTGTATTCATTACATTTACATGTTTTATAAAGCTCTCTTTTGTTTTCCTCAGCATGGCCTTTATGAGAAGAAAAAGACCTCTAGAAAACAGCGCAAGGAACGCAAGAACAGAATGAAGAAAGTTAGAGGCACCAAGAAAGCTTCTGTTGGTGCTTCTGGCAAGAAGGTAATGTTAATTTTTTTGTTTTCAGTTGTTGTTTAGGATTTGGAAATCTTCTGTTTGTTGCCCATCATGGATGTTTATTTCATTGTCACTGTCTTGGGTTTTAATGTGTAACTTGTCATCTTTCCTCCTTTATCAAATGTACATCTGGACTGTAGAAGGTAAATAAGTAGACTAACTGCTGTGGAAGGAGAGTCCAGAGTGATCTGTAAAGTTAACACCAAACATTTAGCTGCTATGTTGATGGCTAATGCTATTGACCAGTATGCGATTGGAAGTAATTCTTACAGGCACCTCTGTTCAATCCCACTCGAGTAGTGAAACTAGTGTGCTCACTAATAGTGAAGTGTTGGACTATGTAGTAATCAGTAGAACAAGCTATATTGCAATTGCTCTCTGAAAATGGTTTACAAATTCAGGCGACAGTCAGATAAATTGTTTTCATGGGGCTTAGTTTACATACCCACCATGAAAGTCTATTTCAGAGAGCAGTTCTAGAACTTGATAGTGTTAGTTGAAAGTTCTAATTTTTGTCCAATCTTTTGCCCTTTTTCGCCTCCCTTGGATGTTTACAGAAGTGAAAGACTTTAGGTTTCAGAAGGTAGAGTGGAAATCAGCATGGTGTGCTGATGTGATCCACTTTTACCAGTTACTTGAAGTGCTTTGCATGTTCAATCCCAATGCCTCACCTCTCTTGCAGATATTTAAAGGATCCTGTGTTTCTAACATGGATGAAAATATCTGTTTTAATTTATGTACTTGAATTGTTCCAGTCAGCTTATTTGACTTATAAATCACTACTAATGTGTAGCATGCTGTTGTGTGGTTAGCATTCACTCATTTGAGGTAAACTAGCCACTTGACTGCATGTCTGCAAGTTTGACAGGACCCACTGGAGCATTCAGAAACAACCTCTCCCTTGAAGTGAGAGTTTGTCCTTGATAAACATAATTAGGAGATTTTGTGTGGGTAGTTTGTGTATGATAGATTGAGTGTTGAAATGTTGTATCAATCTCACTGTAATATGTCTTGTCTTTCCTCTTACAGTAAGACCTTCAGGGAAGACCATCAGCCTGAAAATGTTCTTGTACATTATCAACAAATAAATTCTTTAAAAAAAGTGGATCCTGGTGTCTTTGAGTGCTCGATCAGAAATGCCAATTGCATGTTCAATCATGTGTTCAAAAAGGGAGACATACAGTCATGGCCAAAAGTTTTGGCAGTGACAAATTTTGTGTTTTGCAAAAATCATATCAGCAGCACATATGAAAGTGTGAATGAATACTAGTCAGGTAAAATCACTATCATACTAATTAGATTGTAAGTGCAGACTATGATTGCTATAATTAAAAGGAGGGAAGAAGCGCTTCCAATCATTGTGTTCTTGTTAGCAATGGTTACCTCCAAAGAAACATGTGCAGCCCACCATCGCTTTGCATTAAAATGGCCTCCCATGCAAGGAAATTGCTACAAAGAATATTGTACCTGAAAGAACCATTTACCCAGAAGACTGGTGCAAATTTATTTTCTCTGATGAAGCTCCCTTCCGACTGTTTGGGACATCTGGAAAATCGATTGTTTGGAGAAGAAAAGGTGAATGCTACCATGAGTCCTGTGTTGTGCCAACAGTGAAGCATCCATGTGTGGGGTTGCTTTTCAACCAAGGGAGTGGGCTCTCTCATAATTCTGCCCAAAAACACTGCCATGAATAAAGAATGGTATCAAACCGTCCTAAAAGAGCGACTTCTTCCAATGATTCATGAGCAATTTGGTGATGATCCGTGCATTTTCCAGCATGATGGAGTACCATGTCACAAAGCAAGAGGGATGAA